GATGTCTGACATTAAACTTTGGAGCTTACATGCTAAGGAAGGCTGCACCATTGCCTGATTAATCTAACAAAGTATACAGAATTTAGACATATACTTTGTTCTACCCATGATTTCTGCTTTGAAAACATTTTTTTTCCCTTTCAGCTGATGATTCTTGGAAATCTTCCAGTTCAGAGCATCATAAATGTCTCCCGCACTTGCCGAGAATTGAGATCTCTTTCAAGTGATTCCACATTATGGCAACACCTTGCGTTTAGAGATTTTGGTAAGACACATCTTGACAGTGAAATAGAGTGCCTTCCTCCCCTATCCTTCAAAGACACATGAGCAAACTCTTTACCAAGAGTGATTTTGTCAGCCAAAAGTCCCTTCACATAGAAAAATGCCCACTCTGCCACATTATTTCCTAGTTTCAGTGGTACTTCACAATTTGAAGTTTTTTTCTACTCCCCCATGGATTTGATGTTTGTAGGGTAACACCTTCCTCTCGACCAATCAGATTCAAAATGAAGTCTCATTGGTTCCTTGTAATTTTCTCCTCCTCCGACTGGTAGTGGTTACTTCTTTGCCATTGGTTCCATGAAACTGCCTCCCAGTTAGCTCAATGGATAGAGCGCTGGACTGTTGTGTGGGAGGTCGAGAGTTCGAGCCCCGGCCCCCGGCCAGACCAACACTCATGGTCTTAAAACAACTGAGAAGAATATGCTACCTTTCAATAACATCAAGAAATGGTTTAGATATTCCAGTCTTCACAGATAGGGATGAATAAATGGAGGTCCCATCTCCTGCAGGGTTAAGGGTAGGAAACGTTAATTTCCCACGCACGAGATCACTGTGCGATGGATGTCCTCCCCTGGGGTGGGATGGGTGGGTTGGGGTTGGTTTAGGCAGATGAACCTAGTATGGGACTACGTGTCCTTTTGTTCTCTCGCCTGTACACTGTATGAATCTATAAATACATGATACTCAATCAAACCATGCACAATTATTTGGTTTAAGGTGTAAGTGTTAAAGAGCAGACCAGAAGTTGGAAGGCAGTAAGTAGCTTGATTTTAGTGTTTCTTAAACATCGCTCAATTTACTCCATGTTCTCCAAATTACAACTGATTGTTAAGAATTAAATACTGTACAAGGGTTTGTTTTGATTGGCCAGATTGGGAGTTCATAGGTCAAAACAGGGCTTGGGTCAAAAATTTTTGATCAAGGCTGTGTTCTAAGGAAAATTGAATGGAGCCCAGTGCTCTGAAACTGTGAAATCCAGGGTGCCCAGCATATGCTTTATATGAAAAAACTAAAATTTCCAAGTCGCCCAAGAGCAAAAGTAAGATGCAGGGGGCCACTGGGCGCTGCTAGACCTCAGCATTGTTAATCACAAGTCATGGTCACTAACCAATATCTCACCATATCTCTTCCAAACAAACGACAAAATTGGTACATTTTTTTAAGAAAAAGTTCATCATTAATTTGACTTTTATTGACTCTTGCAGACATACATTCATCTGTACAAACAAAGGAAAACCCAGGAGCAAATGAGAATGCAGGTTATGGTACCACCTCATAGAATATACCCCCCTGGCTATAGTTTAGGCACACAGCCTTACAGGGGGGACCCATTTCCACCTGGTATGTTAGGTAGGTGGAGCACCATGGTCATCTTTTATAACAATGCTCATGCTGGTTTTGATAACCAAGTTATGTAAAAGAAAAATTAACCCAATTGGATATTCTCCAAACTGTTCTTCATACATTTCCTAAGGTGCTGACAAGGAGAATTTGTTGAACAATCAAGAGGTGCTTTAGTTGATGATCATTTCCTTTATTCTTGTAGCCTTAACATCTGATAAGGGGGGCGGAATATTTTAAGGAAAAATTAGACGCTAGTCACTCTAAGCTTAGAGGTGATAGGGTTAAATTGACTGTATGGCGACTTATGTTTGGCCATTGTGTAATAAGCTGTATTATTATATGGCTGTGTCTTGCAAGGACTGGGAACTACCGAATTCACAAATTTGATTGGCTGAAATCAATATTGAAAGCGGTTTAGATTTTCCCATCTAGACCAGCATCTAGACCGGCATCTAGACCAGCATCTAGACTGGCATCTAGACCAGTCTAGAAGAAAAAGGTACAAAGAATATAAAAAATTGGCATATAAGACACAGCTATATAATAAACATCTTATTAACCAAGCCAGGTCAGTCTGTATGGGAGAATCTTGACCTAGGTCACTGGTACAGACCTCACTGCGTTCGGTCTGTACTGGCGACCTAGTGAGTTTACGTTTGATTAACAGGGGATGAAGAAGACTAATCAAGACTCCACTTTGGATTTCTTTTTATTTCTTTCAAAAATCTTTTTTTCTAAAATTTGAGCGGCTAAATTCAGGGTGCGGCTTATGTGCGGGCATGGCTATCTGCGGGCTTTTATGGTAGGGAATATTGTCTGTTTTAATGCCAAATTTTCAGAGCTAAAGTTATATGAAATTTATATATAGCAGGTGGTGTAGAAAATTGAAATTTAGATCACTGGAATACAGCTGTAAAAGGGTTAAAATGAGGCAAACATTTCTTTTAAATATTATTTGTAGTACAATTTTGCCTTTTTCACTTTGGCCAACAGAGTTTTGAGCCTTGAAATGTTCTATAAACCTTCAAAACAATCGCCAGCCCACTTTTTTTTTTTTTCTTTTACTAAAACCAATTTAAACCATTATTTCTGGGGACCATACCACTGAGATTGGAGCTCTGATCTTGTTGCTCTAGGCTTATTATAGTTGGTTCATTTATTTCAGGTGGGCACAATGATCTTTTCCCTAATCTGCCATTTATGCCTGGTGGCATTAATCCAACTCCAGGCGTCTCTCCAGGGACTGGTCTGCCGCAACCTCGATTTGACCCCTTTGGTCCATTACCTGACATAAACCAGAATCCTGGGCCATCACGACAAGGGAGGCATCCACGTCGCCGCCCTAATCCTTCATTTGGGTACCCTCCTGGATTTTTGTAGAATGACATTATTGAATGCATTCGTCTGAAAAAAAAGTTTACCAGTGACAGTGTTTGGCACATGCTTGATATTTCATCAGTCATCTGTGTGGAGCTGTGGGTAATGATAAATCATTACCAGTTCTGTTGGACAATTGTCCGACATTAGGGATTTTAGCAGTGGTGATGGCAATACTGAGGAATAATGTATGTAAGCAGGGCTGAGTTCCAAATGGAAATTTGTTTCTGTTCTCAGACCAAACAAATTTTGGTTATTTCACATTGTTGTTTTGTACAGTACAGCTTAGAAATGTACAAAGTTTCATAAGGCACATGGTGAGCTATTGTTCTGCCCATTAAATCCTTTTTTTATGTCCTTGTTGCCATTGCTATTATGGTTTGTTCAAGGTCTCTATTGCGTTTCCTAGTGCCACATTCAAGCTTTGCAAGTTGTTTCAACCTTAGACTATCTCTTGAGAGAGAAATACTCTCCTCCATATGAAATAAAGATACTGGTTGCCTATTGAATTTCCATAACACCACCATGGCTATATGGAGGAATAGGTAGCTGTAATCACTTTTAGAAGTACATTCCCAGACCATAAAAATGAGATACAATATATGACCCTATGTGATCTTTCTCAGTAATTTAAATCTTCATTACAATGATGATTTCAAACCTGAGGTTACAAATAAATTGCCTCCATTTAATTACAAGAAAATTCTGTCATGGTATTGTCAACATCTGAACCCACAACTTTACAGTACATGTTTCAAACTATTAAGTTTTTTTTGGAGTGGGAGGAAACTACAGTAAAAATTGTATGCAAAAGCAAAAGAACAAAAAACAAAACAAATTGTTGTACATCATATTGTTTGTAAATGTTATGATAAAAAAAAACCGACTTTCCTAATTCCAATTCGATCTGGAAACAGTGGACAAGAACAGCCAAGCAATGGAATGTCCATCACTAAATTTATTATTAATATTATTATTATTATGATGATGATACACATCCACACCAAACGAGGATTTTTTTTTATGTCTTTAATTTTCACACGAAGAGGCATCCTTCATATTGCCAGGAAAATATTGCAGAAATTATAATAATTATTGTATTACCATATCTATAGAGTATCATCATTTACTCTTTTTTAAAAGGCACAACTTACCATTAAATAAGGCTCAGTTATGAATAAATATAATTGAAAGAAATAAATTATGGTATTCCAAAACATTTTGCCATGATCTAGCAACAAACCTTTCAGAAAAACAAACTACAGTGGACATCTTTAAAAAAAGATATAACATGGTATTTTCAGTTTCAGTATGCAATTGTTTCCTTGTTATTAGCAGTTCTGCTAAAAGCAAAAAAAAGGATTTGAGGCCTTCTCCAGCAAATATTACACCTTTCACCTTAATCAAAGAAATGGGATCTAAACACCCATCTCTATCTAGACCTTAAATTTTCCCCAAAACCAAACTGATGTCACAGGGCAAGTTGTAAAATCTTAAGGAGATAATTTGGTTTTATTAAACAAGTTGATAAAATGTAAACTGGCCACTGCGAAGAGTTTCTAAACTGACATTTTGAGTGTTAGCCCTTTGTCTGGGAAAATGATGAAGGGCTTATGCTTGAAACATCAGTTTAGCAACTTTTTACATTGGCCAACTCAGTTGACAAAACCAAATTATCCTATTATTCTTCCCCAGCCATGCAGCAACACAGTTTCTTTAGAAACTCATACCCTTAATTTGTTTGAAAAATCTTAGTTTTGCTGATTCAACGCTTGACAAAGGGGCTGACAAAGCTTAAGCCGTGAGTACATGCAGTTATAATTACTTCATAAAAATAATATTATTTAATCAATTAATGTATGTTTTCTCTTTACCCAATTGCTCTACTTTGTTTTTTTAATCTCTCACTGAAAGAATTTTTCCCTCTGACCTTTCAGAAAATTACACCAGTGACAGGGTTTCCTGGTAAAACATCTGATTAAAATTAATAATATTAATAGTAATAATAATAATAATATTTACTATTGATATCAATAATAATGTACTGGACTAAAATGGGGACCATTTCTCCCTCAACCAATTGTTTATAATCTACTTTAATTTATTTCATTCAGGACAAACTGAAGGAAACAAGACACTGAAGGAAAATTATTCACAGCAATGGTGTATATTTTGCTTTAAACAAGCCAACACCTTTCTTGGTACCAAGATTAATATATTCTGAAAAATATTTTGTAAAAGTTTTTTTTCTCCTTTTCTTTATCATCATCTTTTGTTTGTATGGTCCATTCTAGACTTTTCTGGTGACTATTGGGAGTGTTGCCGTATTCTGCTCGGCAAGTTTAAAATGTGTGTAAGCTATGATTCCCGCTAGGGTTGTAGCTACACCCATCATTTGGTTGGTACGGAGTGGATCATGGAATATGAAATATCCTCCCATGAGGATAATGCAGAATTTTAAATGTCCCACCATATTATATCTGTTTATTGGTTAAGAAAAAAAAAATTGATGAAAAAGAAGACTAACAGAAAAAAAATTAATTTAACAGATTCTAAATACAAATAAGAATACAAAGAAAATAATTTTCCTCAAATTCTAAGACAGTCAAATATGTAAATCAAGGTTAAATATTGAAATGTTATAAAGGATACGTCACAGGAGATGTGTTTCCTATGATCCAATAAATCGATAAATTCACACTGAAGGCCACCACACCAGACGATAATACCACCAGCTGAAAATAAACAAATGATGCAATGTCTAATATTAAGCAGTAAAGTTAATATCCACTACTTTCACCTGCACCGAGGTGAATATTTCTTTTAGTATAAACCACACAGAAACCAGGAAATTATTTGTGGTAAGAATACCTTAAAGTTGTAAAATCAATTCACCACATGGCACTTACAATTGAAGATCCAGACCAGGAAGACAGAAGTCCTTTCTCTGATGTCACTGGTTCAAAAATGAGAACAGCTACTGCTAACATGGCTGCAGATAAAGGAGCCTGGGAAGAGGATAAGAAGTGGAATAAGCAGATGAGTACTGGTGATACATAACAAGGTCTAAATTCTCCTAACAACATCACCCCTAAATCACACATAAAGGTCAGGAGAAATAGTTGAAATGATCACCAACTGAGGAGGCTGTGACTTGATTGATAAGCAAATTCTCCTTGTCAGCATCTAAAGAAACATATAGAGAACAGTATGGAGAATATGCATACTGATGTTAGAGTGTTGAGGGTTAACCGACCTGGTAATACAAGAGCTGCATAAAATTTGCTTGGAATTCCTTTTGTTTTGTTCCAACCCACTGAAAAGTAAATTGTTAAACTAATCATCAGTTATATTAAAATAGTTATACTTATTGCAATAGCATTGTTTTAGAGCAGCATATGTCATTTTGTTAAAAAAAATTTTTAACAGATCTCATTACATTATGTGATATTTTGAAGTCTTCAGAAAATTTTTAGGGAATATGTAGAGTCATAATGCCTTCATATGCAAAGAACACTGCCTAAGCAAATCATAATTCAGTTATTTCACAAAGCTTACCACTTGATAGACAGATGTGACTATAACACCCACACTTGCATAGAAAGTGCCAACCCAGTTGAACTTGACATCATAATATGAGTTTAAAAACACCCCGAGAATTATTGGAATCTGCAAGAAATTGCAAATCATGCTCAAAAATTAAATGGTACAAAAAACACAGCTCCATACTTTTAAGCTTTTTTCCTAATCAACTAATTCTGGGGTTTTTATCACTTTTCCAATAAGTTGCCACCTAACCCTAACCCTAATCCTTTAAGCAAGCTCTTTGTTTAAGACACACCAGAAATCTATTTTCATGGGAGATAAAAAATACAAAAGGAGGGCTGAATGGTGGCTGTTTATTTAAGTTTCTATGGAGGCCTTTGACTGTGTTTCCCAACAAATTTTGTTGTTCTTGTTGCTGTTTTTCACTTTAAGCTTGAAATTGGAGAAAGGGGTCGACAGCCCCCCAGCCCTCTCACCGCCAAGGTTTACCGTGCAAGATTTTTAAGGCTTCACTCCCTTCCCTTCCCTCCCCCATGAAAAATTAGGGATTAGTCGGAAGGGATAATATTTTGATTCAGAATAAGAGCACCACTCACAACTGTTAACTTGATTTGTGTTGAATAACTCTTGTTATAAAAGAACGTATGGATTCCCACAATAGTCGGTGTAGTCAGGGCTTTGGCCAACTGATACGTTCCAACTGTGTTATTCTGAAGGCTGAGATTCGTGAACACCACAAAGCCACAAAACGCCAAGGAAAGCGGAGCCACTTTGAACACAGACAACCTCTTTGGCTGAAAAACATTGAAGAAAGCGCACAAGCGGAGACCGATATACGTGGTGGTAAAGTGGATACATGTCAGAGTCATGTTCGGGAAGCCATGGTGAACATACAGCCATTTGTTCAGGAAAACGATACAGATCGAGGAACATATATTGATGAGTAACCCTAGCGTCAGTACAGCTTTATGCATCTTCTCAGCTTGTCCTGTTCGAGCAAATTTCTGTGGTCAGATTTGTTTTAGACGCATAAATTATTAAGCAACGTTTACTCCAATATATCAGCTGTTCTTTTGTTCGTTGTAGAAGATCTCTCGAAGTACAGGCGGCTTAAACTCTCTTCATCTTTCACCAGAGACGCCAGATTATAATTTAAGCGATCCAAGGATAGGATTGTTTAAAGAAGGTCCCAGAGGAATGAAAATAGTGAATGTTTATCTTTTAGAGACTTGCTGATTTTATTGCCGCCATCTTGGAAGGTTAATTATTACCAGTCTACCGCGATAATGAGGTAGTTGCACAGGCAGCCCAAACTTTAATTTGAAGCTGTACTGTGGAACTACGTGGAGAAGTACGAAGTATGTGAAATATAATCATGGCCAGTGTTGGATTGTTCCTTCCCTATGTTTGAAATGTATATTTTTGAAAATCTTAACCTCTTACAAAGTTTTAAAACGCACGTGCTGGCTATTGTTCTACCCTTTAGATCTTTTACTTTGCCACGTCCTCGTTGCAGTCCTTGTCGTGGTTTGGTTAAGGTCTTTAGTGGGCTAGTGACTGGAAACGAAAGAAACTGGAAACGAAAGAAACTGACAAAAAGTTGAAATATAGAGTTATTCATCCACGTAAGCTGACAGTAAATGATTGAAAAACGTTCTCTCTTTGTCAAAACAACATCAGCAAGAAAAAAAAAACAATAAACTCGATTGTCATTTCGTATTCATACTTCGATAATTTTCGGTCGGCTTCTTTAACGGCGGTAAACTATTTCTAATCGAAAATGTTTTGAAATTTTCATTTTCATTTTCATTTTCATTTGTGCCGCTAGTGTCGCATGTGGAAAGAGCTTCAAACTACCAAAANTCTTTTTGTTTTTAAATTTTTACGCTTGTGAACCCATCTGCTTGTATTGTGAGTGAAGAAAGGATCGGTACACAAATCATCTCTTATGACATGGAAACGCATACCGGAAGTCAATTTGCAAGACACTGAAAATATACTGCAAGTATAAAGTACTAACTGTCTGTGAAAGGGGGTTGAAGATGTTATCGAATCGAAAGACTCGTCACAGCAAATGATGACACGTCATACCGGATGTCGATTTGCAAGACACTTAGAAAATATTTGACAAGTGTCTGTGACGAAAAAATGAAGATCGTCGAATCCGTCGAGGATTCGACTCGAATCGTGGCTCAAGAATTCCATTTTATTTTTATTCAAATACTCACTGATTTTCCCCTAGTAAGATTTGTATTCATGTCTTTGGTCGACGTGAACACTGGCTTTTTAAAGCATTTAGCTTTTTGCTTTTTTGAAATTCTTTTAACAGTACCACAAACAAGAGCGAAGTATTTTGTCGCTGAAAAGATTAATTCCAGAAACTCTTTAAAATTTATGGAAAGTACCAGTTTTATATGGCAGAAATTCGATTCGTGCAATTGTTTTATTCAAGACGTTATTAACTCTTGTCTTATTTGAATTACGTTATGATCTCAGAGGACTGGAAAGCTCTGGTATTAAGTACTCTTGTGGTTTGACCTTAAAAAGTCGAACTTTAGAGCTAAAACTAGACTTAATTACTAATTCAATGAGACGTTACCGTACCGACTCTTTGTTGGATAACCAACCAATCACAACACGTGTAGCTTGTGCTGCTGGTCCGCTTTGACTACGTGGGTTTGGAGGCTTTACATCAATTCATCAGAAGTAAAGCCCTGGTGGAAACAAGGACTACTAGGACTTCTACGAATTTAAAGAAGAGCGACAGAAATCGCCTTTCGAACTTCTGCCATAAGAATAATGGTTATCATTCGTCAAGTTCTGAAAATGATACCTCGATGCTCACTGAGAATCGTGAGGCTGTGCTTTTCGTTCTTTTTGTGGTTTTACCCGTTCATCTTGAGGCCAAATGGCACGAAGAAACCAGAAGCTGTTGAGCATAACTATATTGAAGGTGAGAGCAGCTACGTTTGATACAGTGCGACGAAGTCGCTTTGATGGAACATAATTTGTTCAATTTGACGTAGCTTATTGTAAAATTTGGTATATTTATTTCCTTCCTCACCTTTTCGCCAAGTATGTGTATGTAAATACCTTGTCATCATGTCTTCGCTTAAAACTTGACATGCAGTCTTTCCTAGTTCTGTTGCTGATGGCAGATTATTAGCTACGATCGTTATGTGTGTGTGTATTTATATGATAGATATTTAACAATTATTCGCCAAAGGTGAGGAATTGTTTTTGGTATAATTGCCGTCTTGCTTATCCGATCCTGTGCTTACTTTGTCGTGTGGTTGAAACCATTCTGCTACAACTGTAAGTTCTGACTGTATCGAGATAAGCAGCCAGGTAACAGGTTTTTATTTAATTTAATCAGCTAAAACTTCATATCTTTCTTTTAAAAGTGTTACAACAGACCTGGTAGCCCTTTTTGTGCTCCTCAGAATTCAACTTTTCAGTTCATGTTGAGTTTTCAGTTGAGTTCCCGCTCTGCATGCATGATATTAACATAAACTGAAAGACCGTCATGAGATAA